ATCTGATCTATTATATATCCTTTTAAAATTTTATTCCATACAAAAATATATTATATTCTACTAGCTTTTTATAAAATTGTTACATTTTGCTATGATTGACACTTAAAATAACTTCTCTTAAATTTCAACAAATTTGCAAAAATACTTTTATCTCAAACAATACTTAAAGTGGACATTAATAAAAGGCACAATTTTAAAAATTATTCTGTCGTCCCTCACTTTCGTATCAACTTTATTTCTACATTTTTACATAATTTCTATATTTGTAAAAAAATTATCAGAAAGGAAGTAAGATCGTTTCTCGATTATTTATCGCGAAATTTGTGAAATTTCTGATTCGTCGAGAATTCACGTCTGTGCAAGTTATCCGGATACCTCTCTCCTCGGATGACTGCTCGTTCACGAGTAAGCCAGCATGGTGGTGGGCTAAGGATGCCATCCTTTTCACCTGGAATATTCCTGCGCCATCACGCTCCATAAATCTAGATCTCTCGAAGAAGAGTTTCGCGAGAAAACGATCCGATTCCCCATCCCGGGATTGTAACGATTCTTTATCCATCTTGAAATACATTTTTCCCCTCTTTGCTCTTATTATATGGCGACGGGTCATTTAATTCCCCGGGAATTTCTTGTCGCGGTCAATGAAAAAAAATTTATCCACCGTGATAAATCACGCGAACGATCCTCTCGCGGGGGATTATACTATTTTTTAAGTGGTCGAAGGATCGTTGGAGAATTTATGGATAGCGAAGGAAAATGAAATCGTGCTGCCGAGGCTCGCGTAATAAAGGGTATAATAAAACGGTGGGATCTTCAGAAATCTCGAGGCGACGGTACATTTCCATTCAAAAGTTTTTGCCTCATTTAATCCGTTTCTATTAAAAAGATAAACTAACGAAAAGTTATTTCTTACATTCTTCCTGTCGATCTATTAGTGAATTTTCTTGAATAATATTATTAAAAAAATTCTATCGGGAAAATGGGAAAGTAATTTCAAAATTTCATATATATATTTAATCCTTTAAATGATTTTGCATCCAAAAATATCCTCGTTACATCACGAGGATATATAATAGATCTATTATTTTATTCACTGTATTATTCGGCACGAGATGAAAAAGGATAACAAAATTTTTGCTCATAATGTTTTAAAAATACTTGGGTATGAACCTGTCGTAGAAACAAAAGATTTGCAATCTTCTCTCTGTCAATTACGATTTCTCCTTTGCAGTGAAATATTTTCATTATTACCCATTAAAAACATCCTATTATATTTATTAAACGATACAACCAATCGAGCCGCTGTTAAAATTTTATTTTTAAAATTTCTTTCCATCCATTCTACATCCACTGAAATCCTCACAATAGTGCAAATCTTCAATTTGATAAAAATTAATCCAA